GGTGATGTCCATCCCCCCACACAGCCACTTAACCTTCTAGGGTTAACTTAATGTCACTCATACCGACATCAACTCGTGACCCTGCTGGAGATTTACAAGCAGGGGTCACGAGAGGAATGAGCAAGTAGACCTTGAAACAGATTGACAGGCCAGAGTGACGATTCAATTTGTACCCGAGCGGCAGCCATGTTTGGACACATGGGCATCAGAGAGCATGAAAACTCACTGCAAAGACATTCACAGGCACAGATACACCCTTCTCACATGTGCGCTCCTCTGAGTCTCCCAAAAGAAAAATCTGCCTCTTTGCTGGACTGGCTGTTCGTTTGTTTTCACTGGACACAAATTTTCCCCAAATTGATGCAATTCTATTGATTAACTAATGGGCCGTTTCCTCCCATCAGACTGTCACTCTAAATGCTCCAGTCTTTCACATGTGTCAGCCAGTCTAGGGGAAGGAACGAGGACTCGACATCAATCTAGAACAAAAACAGAGGTATTTCTCTGGCAATGTAATATCTATCAAAGAATCTATTGTAAACATTCAATAAAAGACACTTTTCTTTTTAGGATCATAAAAATTAACCTTTAAAGAGTCTGAAAGATTAAAATAACAAAATGCAAATGAATTCAATGTCACAGTCGCCATCTAGTGGACATAAAATACTATTATACACTACAAGCAAAGAAAAAAAATGTGTGCATACTCTGTACTTCACTTTTTTTTTCTAATGATCTCTTAATCTCTTAGTTTTATAAGCAAATGTAAAGTTATTAAAGTTGCATATAAACACATTTTACATATAAATACATATATACTGCCAAAAAATAATTACCATAATCCATTGCGTCTTCATAGTTTTGATGAATTTGCTATTATTCAAAAATGTGGAACATTATAAGATGGTATTGTGTGCCAAAACATTTAGTTAGCGTATATATCATATAAATATATTACATGGATATTCTTATTTTAAATTCTTACTAAACATAATAAAAACAGGACAGCTCATTCCTACATGTATGTGTCAAAGAGTGCATAATGACGCAATCGTGTAGCCATGCAAACACAGTAGCAGATTTCAGTATGAGTGAAAAACAATCATGATACAGTGATAGGCTGTTGGTTTATAGCAGATGAAGAGGAGGTGAGGGAAGGAAGGGGCTGGAAGAATAGCTTCAATGCCTGTTGCAATGACCCAAACTACCAGCCTGTAACAATAAATCACACATCTGCTTCTAATGAGCCCCTGACATAGTAATGCCTTTGTGCTTGTTATGAAATTCTTGTAATGCCCCCCGTCTTCCTCCAAGTCCAGGGCAAAATGTGCATGTGTCACCAATCCTCCTCTGCAGCTTCCTCTGTCTGTTCATCATTACCTCTCTCTTTTTCACTCTGTCATCAAGTTACTGATACAGACCATCTATCTATCTATCTATCTATCTACATAGTATGTGTAGAAATAATAGGCAGTGTGGGCTGGCAGAAAAGCTCATGAAAGTGAACGGTGTTGCCTTCATACATAAAAAGGGTTCTCAATGCAAGAAGATTATGGGTAAACGGATTCTGCAGTCTGTTCTTAGCTCTTTGAATGATCTCCTGGACAGCAAGCCAGAGCAACATGTGGCCCTTGTTAAAAAAAAAATCTAAATGAAACAATAGCGGGAAGAATGAAGCTGCTGCTCTTTGAAGTGAGCGTGAATCTGAACTCTGCAGCTAATCATCCACAGACAAACTGAAAGGCCCCGTTTATTTATCTGAGGAAGAACGGTGTCCTGCGAGGAAGAGGCATGTGCCATGTAGCACAACTAGCAACTAGCAAAACAACCATTGCCAATAAGACTGAGTATTTCTGTTGTTTTTTTATTGTATATTCTTATTCAAATTCTAATTGATTGAGTAGCCTGAGAAATTTTAACAATTAGACCAATACAAATGTCCAAGTTGGCATTTCCTCATTGTGAAAGACTTAAATAGCCTACATAAAAAAAAGTGTTCATATTTTTCAATTGCAGAAATTCTAAAACATTTATTACAGGAATAAGGTTCAGTTCTGAGTGATGATGCAAATCGTATAACAGAGTTTTGGATCAGTTCACAGAAACTGAATTAATTCACATGAGTAATTGAATTGGCCAACTCTACCAGCATTTCTGCTACTGAAATCAGATATGTTATTAATGCATTATTTAAGCATTAATGCATCAGTCATACTTGACACAAAACCAAGCATTTAATGACACTTTTTGAAAAACTGATGCCATAAAGGGCTAATTGCAATTATTACAATGCTTACAATTTTGCTTAATTTCATATTAGCAGCAAAATCATCACATTCTGTTGCCCAGACTTAAATCCTAATCCTATGATTTAATGAAAAATAAAAAAATAAAATTTTCATGGGATCAGTAGTTCATTGCCTCATACAATCATCTTTTTTCAGATTTTCACACTTTGTTGCTTCAAAACTAACCACATTTTGTAATGTTCATCTTGGAGCTGGTTGGCTCAAGTCTTTTAACGTTTTTTTTTAAATATCTATTGAAACAATGAATGGAGAAATATTTTCAGAACCAAGGGGCTGAACAAGTGGGTGGTCACAGTTGTGCTTTATTGTGAGAGAAACTGTTTCAAATATTACCACAAGGTGTCAGTAGAGTTCACTGTGCAGGATGTGTAAAAATAGTAAATACACAAGAGCATTGAACATGAACCTCCTATCAACTACTGTACATTATGTACTACTGCATATACTGCACTACTCTCTCTGGAATTGAGAAGAGAATACAGCAATGTACAATTTCAAAGAAAGAGTAAATTCCAAATGCCATTTTTGCACCCTTGAAGGTCACTTCTGGAAGGGGATGCCATTTGTATAGGGGCATTCCAAACAAAAGTGAACAAATGAATCCCTTCACGAAGGGCCCTTCCAGAAGTCTGTTAGTGATGGGTCACTTCATGGTCCCTTCAAGGAAGTAAGTTTATCATTTATGGTCATGTGACCAGGGTTGTGAGTCCTTGCGATTCATTTTATGGTAGAAGAGTTAATTTCTAAACAGAATAATAATAAGTTGTTTTGTTTTGCTGTGATATATTACACACATTTTCATCATGCAAGTATCATAGGTAAGAAATGTGTTTAATAGTAGATACATTAGATAAATGTGACTAAACCTGCAGGGTCCAAAGAAGAACTGGTAAGTTTTAGAAAGATGAAACACACAGAAACACACATATAAATCATATTTTAAAAAGGTTATTAATTTATATTTGTTTGCAACATATCAACAGCAATAAAAAAGGAATTTCCATTGTTAGAACAGCTAATGTGGTGATGGATGCTGTGCTACATTGTCATTGTAACATTTCAGGTGAAGATAATGAGGGAATTACATTGTTTTTCATTGCTCTCTTCACCAAGTGAGTTCCAAATGGCTACAGTGACACGCAAGTTCCCTGCTCCCTCCCAAGTGCCCACTTCAAGGGCTCTGCCCTTCAGAGTGAATAGGGCATAAGGATGCTCACTTCCGATTGGAATTTGCCCACTATAAAGAGTTCATCACAAAAAGAAAAACAGTTTTATGCTGTTCATTGGCATATATCATGTTGAGTTCAGAATGCCCCAGATTAACAACAACCAACCAAAAGGGTATCCCCCAAAACCTACAAACAGGAATACACATTCACACTTTAACTTCAATGTAACAAGCTTCTCAACCATCTCAGTTGCTGAGGTAGAAGCATTGCGTGCTATTCATCCAGTGCGTGTCCCTCTAAATTGATCAGACAGTAAGTCACTCAAATCCTATCGGTCCTTCTAATCTTGTCACATGTGACCAACGCACGCTAATTAGAGGGGTGATGCCCACCCATTGGGTTATCTTATAGACACATGCTAAAAGGCAACTCAACAAATTAGCTCTTAGCCTAAAGTCAGGTCAACTGCTCTTACAAGAGACCCTACAAGAGACTTGGGGTCAATCCCCCAAAAGTCTTAATCATCACTTACTGCCTGAATGTGTAGGTATTTGATTAGGCTTACGCAAAGTGGCAAAGGACTTAGAGTTCACTACTAATTATAAGAGCTTGTGATTGTTGTAAATAAGGTTAGTTGTGAACACAGAAAGTTGATTTGCTCTGCATGGTAACTGTCAAATGAGCACATTTTCAAATGATACTCTTTGATAAAGTACATCAGACTGACTTGGGGACAACATCTGTCTGGATGGGTTTTACGGCTGGAAGCTTCTGTCTTCCCATGAATTGTTGAGGAATAAATATGAGCAAACTACTGACATCGATGATGTGGCTTGATCATCGTTCATCATGTAAAAATCACCTCTAAGGGAAGAGGGAATGCTTGTGTCCATAGCTTTGAAGTTTCCATGGGAGACTTGACCGAGAATAACGATTGTTCAGTAACAAGTCTGGGCGATAAAAATCTTAGGAGACCTATACAACTTCTTGTGGAGTTAGACAATTGGAAAAACACCAAGTAAATTATTTGATATAATCTTCCACCCTGATCTCCACTACCCTTGCTATAGATTTGGTTAGCTTACATTTAGCAGAAGTATTACGCCCATTAAATGTGCCCCCTGTGGTATTTCAAGTGGATTTAAAAAATATGCATATTTGATGATTAAATGTATGATTATTGCAGGTTTAAAAAGTTCTAAAATGCAGTGGCAGAAATCACATGTAGACATGTCTAAATGTGTTATTTGAGAAAAAAGCAGAGTAATATAATAGACGCAGACCTCCAATGGAACTAGCTGTACCCTGTGTTGATGTAACTTCCAATTCTTGTGAAATAAGACAACAATGGTTTGGTCTGAAGACTACCCCAGAGCAAGCAATACCAGCAAGTAAAAGAGCAAACTGATGCTAAAGTAACTAACCAATTACAGAGTAAGATAAAGGATTAGAGTCCTCGGCTCATCTGCAAATGGGATCAGCACTGATTAGTGGGGTTTAGAATGACGTAGAGGAACTTGATTCTACAATCACACAGCTCCTCAGCCGGCCACCCCCTTTTGCAGGGAAGGGAACCATCAGGAAAAGCCACGTAGCCCCCCAGCTGGTCCATTTAGGTGGATTTATGTGAAATTCCAGAGAAAGAGGCCTCTGGCTGCCAACAGCATGGACTTTCTTGAATTGTGGGTGGTCAGAATGGGTATGGGAAGGGGAATCCTTGCTACTGCACGTTCCATGCTCGATGGCGGATTACTAAACTAAGCCTCTGGACTATAACGTTCCTGTTCAAGGTCTTCAAGAAATTCAACAAGGGAAAGACAACACGAATCGTACAATAAAAGGTAATCATACAAAAGAAGAATCCCTGTGAATATATTGTTGTGACTTATTAGACACCAAGAACAAAAACATGGCTTTGATGCCCATAAAATTTGACTTGGTCAAGCGGGTCAAGCTGGCCCAAGGACTGTGGCTCCTGTACTGGCTCTCTGTCATGGCTGGGATCCTCATCTTCAGCATGGGGATCTTCTTCAAGATCGAGCTGCGTAAGAGAAGCGAGATAATGGATAACAATGAGAGCCATTTTGTGCCCAACCTGCTCATTTTGGTGGGACTTGTGGCCTGTGGTATCAACGCTTTTGGGGGCAAAGTGTGCCATGACTCCCTTGACACAATTAAGTTCACCAAGTGGAAACCTATGTTGAAGATCTACATGAGCGGATGTGTGGTTTTTTGCATTGCCCTTTTTGTCACGGCTCTGCTGTGTTTTCTGATGCAGATTTCTCTGCATTTCGCCCTGGCTGAAGGCCTGAAGAATGGAATGAAGTACTACAAAGATACAGACACGCCAGGACGATGCTTCATGAAGAGAACCCTAGATATGACCCAGATTGAGTTCCGCTGCTGTGGCAACAACAACTACAGGGACTGGTTTGAGATCCAGTGGATTAGCAACCGCTACCTGGACTTTAGCAATGACGAGATTAAAGCGTGAGTACTGGGATCTAAGTGGAAGAGATTCTGGATAATTTATATACATTTTCTTTTCCATCTGATGGCTTGTGACATATCTGAATTTCAGAAATTCATTATCATAGCAAAATGTGTAAAATATTAACTGTTACCATAGATGTAGTCAAATTCAAAAGGTATCAGTCATTGAACATTATTAGGAAAAAGTAATGAAGGCTGATATTCACTGGGTTTTGAGGAAGTTAAAGCTTGTTTAAGAAAGTAAGGCAACTAAGCGGATAGAGATCAGCTGATGCATATTTTACTCTCGGAAGTGTAACCCTACTGTATTATGAAATAATTTACACATGATAACCAAGACAAAAAATAGCACAAAGGTTCTAATGAAACAATATTTTCAATGTCTCGAAACAGGCTCCTTGAATACTTTTATGTTGAATGCAAGAGGAATAAAATTTCAGAGTTGTTTTGCGAGATTCCCAAGTAGATAATTGGCTCGTGGGTTTTATAAAGAGGGGAATGGGTTAAAGGGGGCAAACGGGTCCATGGAATAGATAATCTGTCAGTATCCTATTCCAAAGTCCTTTAAAACTTACCTTCCACACAAATAATATTGTGCAATCTTTTACCTCCCATGGAGTGAGTCCCCAGTGTTTACCTCCCAATGGGCTAAATTGTCCCAAGGAGATGTTCATAAATCTAATTTAAAATAGGGTTTCTTTTTATTATCAGATTGGAGTCCTCAGCTTTGTCCAATAATCTCAAAGTTAATGTGGAGATACAAATTTGTTGAGATGTGTTTCTAAGCCTGCCTCTCTTTAAATCTTAAATGCCACACCTAATAATACATCCCAGTCAATATAATTGAAATATCTGCCTAACAGTTCAATCTTTTGGAATTTTTTAGCCGTGTCCAGAGCAACGTGGAAGGCAAATACTTGATTGGAAGCGTTCCCTTCAACTGCTGCAACCCTGGCTCCCCTCGCCCTTGTATCCAACATCACCTGACCAACAACTCCGTTCACTACAGCTACGACCACCACATTGAGGACCTAAACATCTGGACCAGAGGCTGCCGTGAGGCCCTGGTGTCCTACTATGGGGGCATGATGAACAGTATTGGTGCTTTTGTGCTGCTGTTCATTATTATGCAGGTGGGTGTGGGAGAGGAAATGGAATCCAAAGTTGAACACAGCTAACTCATGGCCTTTGACTTTGTCACTAGATTACACTCTTGGTGGGTAAAGAATGTGTTGCTAGATTATAAAGTGAGCCGCTAGATTATAAGGTCAGTTGGTGCGTAAAGAGTAATATAAATAGGTCTGAAAGAAACGGATTAATTATCTGCTTAATTGATTTGATTAACACTTTGTGTTGATGGCATGACAAGATATAGGGAACAAGCATTTAGCATGTGGGAAGTTGACAACATGAATTTTGCATAAATGACATGCACTTGGCATATTTACAGTTACATATTTTCCTTTTACAGAACTTATCTACATTACTACTACCAAATACACTGAAACTATATTCATGCATATACAGTTTAGTAGATGGGCACAGCAAACCTTCTATTTGAACTGTTACTGATTGCGTAATGTGACACGACACCAAATGTGCAAAAAAAGTAGTTCAAGAGGGTTAACCTGCTGTTAAGTGTAAGTCCTAAGATCTTGTTGCCAAACTGGATATTTCCTGGAAAAGTAGAACTCATGTGGGTCAAAACATCAGAAGCACACACCAATGATGCTGTATTTGAGCATGTGTGGAAGTTTCTAGAGATTCATTACCCTAAGAAAACCCTCTTGTGGACATACATATTCCAAAGACGTAATCACTTCCAAATGGAAACATATAAATTTGTGAAGCATGTTTAGTTCTACTGTGAACTGAATTTAATTTGTTGCAGGCTGTCGTGACTGTCGGTTTGCAGTACCTGACCACTTCACTGGAAACCCTGGCAGACCCAGAGAATCCTGAGAGCGAAAGTGAGGGATGGCTGCTGGAAAAGAGTGTGAAGGAGACACTTTCTGGCATCATGACAAAGCTCAAGTCGCTGTTTAAAGGCAACCAGGTACAGGAGGGAGACGCAGAAGCAGAAGCAGCTCCCACATAAAGCTGAGAGAGTCATGCCCCATCCCACCCCATCATGTCTATGGCCACTTCTACCTTTGGGAGAAAGAATGCATGAAAGTTTGTCTCTTAAAAATATAGGTGTATATGCATACATATAAGATCAATACACCTACATTTTAATGAGATTCCAATTGATATGTGAATGTACACACTACAATGTAAATATGAATTAAATTTAAATTTAATATTTTAAGAATTAAATATCTGTAAATGTCCTGATATTATCATTTAACCATATCAGATATTCAGACCAAATAAGCCTCACTGTCCACTGTCCACGTCTGTAGTAGTATAAAGTTTGATCCTTATATTTCCAGTTTATTTATTGGTTGAGCGGATGTTTAACCCGACAGCCTCACACATACAATAACACATTTCACCATCAAACAATTAGGCGCTATTAAATCACTTTTCAGTAAGAAATTACTTTTTTTGAAGGGGTCACACGGCAGCTTTTAACCGGCAGCTGAGAAAAATGTGTTTTTGTAAACATTCAGCCCAGACCTTAAAGGGATGGAAACAGTGGCACACCTTGCTTTTTACACAACGCTGCCTTTAACAGACCTTAGGTTGTCTGACGATTTTCAAAAGCATGTTGATGGTGATCTACTGGAGAGCAGAACTCAATGGGGAAACTATTCTGTTAACAACAGAATATTGTACTCATCATGTTCACCATTAATGTGTGTAGTTCTCTGGTTAAATATCTGCTTCACAAGTTGACGAGATGTGCAAACAGGCTTTCTGTCTGAACTTCAGTGCTCTGTTGAACTCACAGTTGTGGGACAGTTACAGAAGTTGTCAAGAGTACCGACTTGTAAAAGATTCTAATCAGTTGTGTGTGTTTTGTTAATCTAAGTCAGACAAACCAATCAGCTGTATTTTTTTTTTTTTTTTTCACATAATTTGTGTGATTTTTTTTTATTTTCACAGGCACCTCTCTTTCTGTACATTTGACCTTGACTTTGCAGTAATGTCAGTTTTTGTGGATTGAGTGAATCATGTAGGAAACTCTATTTGTGAGATAAAGATGTTTAAGTAGATTCAGTGTTATTCTGTTCTTTTTTCACAATACATACTCATAACACACACCTCGCTCTGAACAGACGTGACTCTTTGTTTCTGTTTTTACTGTTACTGTTTTAACTTGGTCTTTAAAAGACTATGTAAAAGACTTAAATATGAGGGGTGAAAGTGGGGTAAGGTAATAAGAGCTGGTCACAGGTGAAACATGTTTGGACAGCAGAGGGGCACAGCTTTACCTGATTGGATGAAGAGAAGGAAATGGATTTCTCTAAATGAGGCTTTTGCTCAGAACAGCTGAACACCCATCCTCAGAATACCTTTGAGCAAAAAACATGAACATGAATGTTTTTCAACATTAATATTTTAGGTTAACGTGTATAAAGGAAAGTGTATGGTTAAAATCAATCCATCCATTCAGGAGTAATGGACTTAATTTAATATTAATTAATACCAAAGTCCCTTTAAGGCAAGTCATGTCACTCTGCCGCCATCTTTGAAACGCCTCTCTGGCATGCAAGTGCAGCTCCCATAGACATATTAAATACCTAGATGCCTCATTGGCCGCTTTGGACCGTTGCTGCGATACGTCAACGAGTCCGCCATATTGGTCCGGGCAAGACTGCTCGGTAAACAAATACAAGTAAACGGGGAGCTGCGGCTTTTCTAGACAAAACGTGGAGTAAAGTTTACATTTCTCAACCGATTTCAACGGTTTATGATCTGCATGGAGTTCAAAAAAAGTTTCTGTTTCTAATTACTCAGAATCTCGCTAGTTAGAACTTGTAAAGTATTAATTACCATAAGGAATTGTGAAGAATCACGCTTGTCAAGCATAGATATGGTTTATTTTTCTTGGTTAATAATTGTGGAGACGTCCTTAATAGTAATATAATGTAATGTACATGAAATGTGCACAACGTTTTACATTGTGGAAATGGCTTTTTCTTTCTACAACACTTTTTAGCTCTACACTCTACAACACATTTTAGCTTTTTTTTTTTTTTTTTTTTTTAAATCACGTCATAGGATGTCACAGGACAATTTCAGATGAATGTGAAGATAATGTGCTGAAGCATTTATCTTTACCTTTTCATTTTTTTCAATTTATTTATATATGTGATGCCTCCTAACCTTATGCTTATAATTAGGGATGCACCGATACCACTTTTTTCAGTACTCGCCCGATACCGATACTTTTATTTTTGGTACTTGCCGATACCGAGTACCGATACCGATATTTTTATTGCATTTGTACATTTTTTAAATATTGGGTACAGAAACCAAAAGGGTATGTATAATGTTAGTTGGTTAACTTCATTTATCAAATAGATACAGTCAAACCAAAATTTATTCAGACACCTTCAACATTTATACCAGTATCGGTATCGGTGCATCCCTACTTATAATGTTTGTATATTTGTTTTACTATTCATACCACAACAATAAATGTCTTTATAGAAATGTTTATTATAGTAAAACATACATAAAATATTAATTAAACAAATAATTAAATAAAAAATATATAAATAATTGTGTCTTGCAACTTGAAAATGTTTTTTTTTTTTGTCTAAAAAAACATTTACTGATCTATAAGCATTTCACATATTTACTGTCAGTACACCATAGTTATACAAATTAGCCAAATGCATTTATTTCAATTCAAATTGATGGAAACGGATAGAAAATTACTGGGCTTGAAATATTCCTTATCCTGTGTGTGGGCTCCCTCTAGTGGGCAATGTTAATATCACAGCTTGAACCCCTATTTATAGGATCATCCTTAATGGATCCAGTAATAAATTATTTTACAGCGGTAAAACATTTATAACACAACTACAGTACAGTTTAATCGCCTTTCCTAATAATGTGCTAGCCAGTTTCGCGGTTGAAGTTTACAGTCTGCTCGTCACCCCACAGAAGAGAGGGGCGGGGTGAGCAGAGCTGAGCATTTATGGGTTCGGTGCCTTGCCCAAGGGCACTTCGGTCGTGGTATTGAAGGTGGGAGAGAGCGCTGTACATTCACTCCCCCACCTACAATCCCTGCCGGTACGACATAATATAGTCAATAAAATAAAAACACTAAATAAAATAGTGAATAGTACAATCATATAATAGGCCTAAGTTGTATAATAATATAATAATATCATATAATATAATATGCAGTAGAGGTGCAGTCTCTTGGAAATGCAGAAAACAGTCCATGACAGGCTTGCTTCAGCCTTCCTTGAGGTTTGTGTTGTCCTGGTTCTACTGGCTAAAATGGGCAAAACATAAATGAGCCACAATTACATGACAAGCAATCTAATCAGCTGCTCTTCAGAGATGAGTCTGTAATTCTGACAGCCTGATCTGTCCGGTCACTCCTCTGGCTCACAGCATCGCACGGAAGACTCACTTGCGATTTAGATTCGCTCAAACTATAAAATAAGCTCAGACTTCATAAGAATCATGTAAACTTTATATTATTTCTTATAAAGTCTCAGTTTACATAGCTTTTATCGTTAGCTATTAATAGTCTGACTTTGATGGCTAACTAATGTCAACATGTTATAATGACAAAATAAAACAAAAAAACAACTATTCAGACTTACATGCGAAAGGTAATTTCCCAAGAAATAATTTGGATTTTTACGACGATTTGTAAAACCTCAAAATAGTCAGGGAATCCGGGATCTTTTCTTCAGTCCACTTGTGAGAGTTACGGCAAGTTGCCGGACCAATATGGCGGCGCCGTTGACGTAGCCTAGGTATTTTATATGTCTATGGCAGCTCCTATCTCTTTGAATGGGGAAACATAAAATTCTCCAAAACTGTTCGCCAAACTTAAGATTACATTTCATATTTGAAATCACCAATGAAATTTGACAATAACTGTCCTATAAATGTTGTTTCTTTTGCTCAAATAGTGTTAAAAAAGCTTATTTTTCAGGCTAGACCAGCCAGTGTGCATGCGCAGTACTCAGAACGCTGCCTGTTTCTATAGCAACCAGGATTTCTAACGGCAGCTGCAGTGATGCACTGACTTTACCGATTAGCGATTGGCTCTTTTACTCAGAAGGCGGAGATTCGTTCAATAGAGCGCCCATATTGAGCACTGCATTTTTTCCCATTCAAAACTATATGAGTGACACGTCTTGGGTACTCTCGTCTAAACGTTAGATACACTGTTATTTGTAAATGCTACTGCTTATGTTAGCTTTTAATATACAGTTTTATCCTGATTAAAGCTTTAATACAGTACGGCAACTGCACGCATGTCCATGTTTAATGCTTCTCATAGCTATGTGAAAATAAGTGTATAAATTTAACAGTTCATTAAAAGACTCATGGCTGTATTAGATCAAAAGAGTGCTTCTACTAAATACTGAGCAAAGGGTCTGAATACTTAGGACCATGTGATATTTCAGTTTTTCTTTTTTAATAAATCTGCAAAAATGTCAACGATTCTGTGTTTTTCTGTCAATATGGGGTGCTGTGTGTACATTAATGAGGAAAAAAAATTAACTTAAATGATTTTAGCAAATGGCTGCAATATAACAAAGAGTGAAAAATTTAAGGGGGTCTGAATACTTTCCGTACCCACTGTACATGTAGGATAACCCCAATCTCTTGTACAAGAGTTGTTTTCGAACTGACCGAGATTAATTAACACACACACACGCAACTATCAATACCAGTAGATTTCTGAAGGAAACAATAGTGTTTGAAAGGCAGCAAAGGAATGTTGTTAGTTTCAGGTAAATTTAGGCTTTAGGTATTATGTCTGCATAAATTAAATTTACCTTTGTCACCCGCAGTCTGGGTTTCATTCTCCATAGGGCCTTTCGCACAGCTTTAGTTCCAGAACTAAATGTAAACTAAATGTAAAAATATTTTGCACAAACTATTTCCCAGTACCATTTAAAGGGTTGCATTCGCACCGACAGTGTGTACTGAACATGCAGCGCCAGGTGGAGCCTGGGGAGAAGGAATGGGATGGAGCATTGAATAATTATTTAAGTAGGAATATTTGTGTATATACGTGTGTAAGAACAGGAAAAGCAAAAACAAGGAATAAATTGATAAATAAACCATGACTGCATAACAGCAAAAGTAGGTGGCGATATGCACACAGGATGTAACACAGTGTGTACTAGGATGTGATGTAAGCCGGTCGACAGCGACGTCATTTGTGCGTGGCGTTCAACAACGGAAACAAAGAAGAACAACGTTAACAACAGGAGGATGGAGGACGCTGTGATCGGAGCTGTGTTTTTGTTGTGTCTCGCGGGTTTCACAATAATGGACATGGAATGTCGACGTATACGTAAAGCGATTGAAAGAACAGAAAGGAGGACTAAGAATCTCCAACGACAACTGGCAGTGCTACATTTGCTACAAGTGCCTGCACTTCAGCGTCCATCCATCTCTGTTTTCCATACTTGCGAAATAAGTTGACAATGTTTACAGTATGTTTACACAGCGTTTTAAATCATGGCGGGTGAGGGCGTTTTCGTACGCGTTTATCCAATCAATTTACTTACGTCACGGGTAGTACCAGCTGTGCTGGTTACACCCTGCTCCGGAGTAGGAGCTAATTTGATTCTCGAAAAAGGGAGTCCGGTACTAAAATCGCACCCAGTTCCGGCTTTGTGAAAACGCCAAAAAGTGGGTAGTTATACAATTAGTTCTGGTACTATGAAAAGGTTCCCGCGGTGCGAAAGGCCCTCATGTTGCGATGCAGCCAGAGAAGTCAAAATGTGGCAAAAAGGTCCAATCACAATTTAGCAAGCAAATAAAGCAGAGGCGTCGTTGTCATCTGTAGATTTTGAATGGCAAACATGCTCAGTAAATCTCAGTGGAAATTTCGGTAACGCTTTAGATTACAACCCGCAATGTACTGCGTAAGTAAACAGAATTTACAGCGTAACTTTTTTGTAATTACAGTGTACCTATTCAGTACCTCCGTGTAGGATCGCACCCAGTTCCGGCTTTGTGAAAACGCCAAAAAGTGGGTAGTTATACAATTAGTTCTGGTACTATGAAAAGGTTCCCGCGGTGCGAAAGGCCCTCATGTTGCGATGCAGCCAGAGAAGTCAAAATGTGGCAAAAAGGTCCAATCACAATTTAGCAAGCAAATAAAGCAGAGGCGTCGTTGTCATCTGTAGATTTTGAATGGCAAACATGCTCAGTAAATCTCAGTGGAAATTTCGGTAACGCTTTAGATTACAACCCGCAATGTACTGCGTAAGTAAACAGAATTTACAGCGTAACTTTTTTGTAATTACAGTGTACCTATTCAGTACCTCCATGTAGGTATAAGGTAACAATATGCGAAGTTTGGGGAATAAAGGAGTAATAATCTGTAAAATTACAAATTATTTCTACTGTAAGTATTTTGAAACTAAGGGGTACCTATTCTAATATTATGTGGTATATATGACCTAACAACAATCTTATATTTCCAAGCGATTTAGCAAAAAACATACGCTGTACTTTTTTATAGCCTACACATATA